TCAGCCATAACTTATCCGGCAGACTTGCTTGTTCCTGAAAGAAGCCAGCAGTTCTTTAATCAGAAGTAAACGATTCCTGTTGCAAAAGAAATAAGACACGTAATTCATCTCCACATCTTCACTTAAGATATGTGTCGAGAGATAAATTACTATTTATTCTGAACTCTTTGGTTTTGTCCGGCTAATGTAAGGAGTTGGCCCTTAACACCAAATAGCACTTACTAAAAACGCTAAGGTTCCCTGATGGTATTTCGCCATTGCCCTAGGCAACATGACTTCAAATGCTTTCGTAGCATTTTCTACACAAGTGGATTTTCTCACTGGGGAAATACACTCTAGGATGTGAAGATGGAGAATTCTTCCGCCTGCCTCTGACCCCTTGAAATAGTCAACGCGCTTTAGCATTCTGAGCTCTTTGATGAAGTTGTAGCCGTAGCCAACACCTCACCGTGCTACAAATTCCAAATAGTGTGATGCTCCGTTTCCATGCTGTCACAACCCAGCCAATGAAACGCAGGTAGAAAACCACTGCTTCAGGAGTAATATATCCTGTATCATGCTGATTTTGACTTATATCCTGCTTTTTTTGCCAACAGGGCACTCATAGGATTGAGTTGTATCCAAGGAGCAAAGTTCCATTACACTACTACACTTATTTTGAAATGACTCCTTCTATGTAGCTTTGATGACTGCCCCACGACCTCCCATCTATTAAAATCCTAAGGCTCAGATCCTGAAGCCCCCGCAGGTCTGATTGAACGTGGGAAGACATTCCACCAGCGAGTTACCTGCTTCCAGGTTTCTCCAGTTTTTTCAATCACAATCGTCTGTGATTCCCCAAGAGGTGATGTAGTTTTGTAGTCATCTGACAAGAGGCCGAGGATGGGGTACTGATTCCTGTATCTGGCAGGTGGAAAGCCGTTGTCAGCAATGAGGTGGAACTAGACCTTATATGGCATAATTCTATTCTTCAAAGCAGGACAGGACGGTAATCTTCCTGTTGCAATAATTGCCACCACTAGATTGAGAGCCAGTTTGGGGTAGTGGTGAAGGCACCAGGCTAGAAACCGGGAGACTGTGAGTTCTAGGCCCACCGTAGGCAGGAAGCCAGCTGGGTGACCCTGGGCCAGTCACTCTCTCTCAGCCCTAGGAAGGAGGCAAGGGAAAACCACTTCTGAAAAACCTTGCCAAGAAAACTGCAGGGACTAGTCCAGGTAGTCAACCAGGAGTCAAAAACTGACTCGAAGCCCCCCTCCCCAAAAAGATGGTAAGAAATTCTAGGCCACCCTATTAAAAAAAAAAAACAGCTCCAGTTTTTCAGAGTTATATCTGACTAAATATAATTTTATTATCTGCATTTAGAAAGAACAGGAGGATACATGTGGCAAAAAAATTCCTGCCCTGGATCTGTTCATTTTCTTCTTTTGATTTATTGCAGTCTTTTCTTTTTTAATTTTCATTTTCACCAGCCGGCTGGGAGACCCAAGTTAATGTTAATTATGATAAAAGTGGTGAAACATTTTCTATTTCAATCTCTTCTATGCAATATAGTCTGCAATCTTGGCTAAGATATACCAGAGGGGGTTGCCATGGTTTTTAACTGCATTCCAAAAAAGGTTATTCCTTACACTTTATTCTCAATAAGTTTAGTTCTTCATAAGTTTTCAGTTTTGCTGTTTTGTTATAGCTAAACGTCATTCTGTATTTGCTTTTTATTCTGTTGGCTTCTTGCATGCCAGTCAGGGCAGAAAGATTGGTACCAAGAAAATGAATATTTTGGGGTTGAAAACCCATTAAATAAATAGAAAAAGTATTGCATTACAGCAGTGTTTCTCAACCTCAGCAACTTTAAGAGGTGTGGACTTCAACTCCCAGAATT